CCCCCCCCCCCTTATCTGCAATCCTGAAATCCAAGAACCACTTTGAAAGGCAAAAAATGCCACTTGCAGCCCATTTGGTGGCAAAATCAAACCTAAGCAGAAGCAAGGCTATTTGTGGCCTCTGTTTACCCCCATTTAGGAGTCCCTCGGGAATTATGAATGGGAGAGACCGCAGGGTGTGGCACAAACCCCAGTCCCTTTCTAAAAGTGGAACCTCCCTCGGTGCCAGAGCACGCTGGCCCCAAGGGCCACCTCGGAGCGCTCTGCTGAGGATGAAGACTGTCGCCGCGTGGGAAGGGCATAGCGTCGTGCCCGCCCAGGGCGGATATCTGCTGGCTCCGTTGCAAGGGTCTACCGCGATTGTCACCGTCATTGACTTCACTGATGCTTAGTAAGGGCTCAGTGAATGGCGGCCGTACCTGTTGCCATTGGTGGAACCTGAGTATTAGCAAGAGCTGTGGGCACCGGGATTTGGGAGTGAAGATTCCCTCTGGCTGTTTCCTCATCTGACTATTTATCCAGCCTATTTAGTGGACACAGCCCAGGTCTGGGCTCCAGAGGCCCTGTGTTCTGGGGTGGGCTCGGACGATTTACCCGGCCTCTCTGAGTCTCAGCTGTGGTCTGGAGCCATTCCCAGCTCTGACACTCTGGGATCCTGACTTGTTCTCTGCAGGCAGTGGAGAGTGGGAGAGGGTCAGGAGGAAGGACGTGAACATACTGTTTGCCAGGATGTCGGGCACTGGCCTTGGCGTCCTTAAGCAGGCCATACTGCCAACCCGCCCACAACCCGCACGGGGGAGGCCACCGGGGCTTCGGTGGGTTCCACCGGGGGCTTGAACAGAAGGCCTAGGGGCTGAGGGCTTGCGTGGGCTGGGTGGGAGCTGCGGGGTAGAGGTGGTGACAGTGGCCGGGCCACACTGCTGGATGCTCCCCCGGGAGGCTGGTCAGGAGAACTGTGATGCCCTTCCCCCACCTCCTCTTTCCCACCTAGGAAGCTCAGAAGAGCCAGTGCGCCCACACCCTAACGTACAGGTGGTAAGACGGGTTCCTTGAGGACAATGCAGTTCTGTGAGATGCCTGCTCACTGTGCTGGAAACTTCCTGGTCCACCGGCCTGGATTTCTACCGGCCCTGGGTGTGGGCAGCTGGAGCCAGGACAGAGAGAGGTGGCCTTTGCCTTCCCTCTCGGGAAAGGGAAGAAGGCGTCCAAGCCGCCCTTCTGGAAGGGAATCATGGAGAGAGTGGGATGGAGACGGGCATACCTGTCAGGTGCTGGGGCCTGTGTGGTTCCATGGCAGCAGAGGGCAGTGCCTGACTCAGAATCTGCCCGAAGGAACTACGGGAGCCTGGGGAGTTCTGGGCTAGCTGCTTGTGTAGACTGTGGCTGGCTTTCAGGAAAGATGGAGACGGTGGGGACTAGGAATAAACAGGCTTCCCCCTCTGAGTTCACCATTGCAAAGGGCCCGTGTTTCCTATCGGGATCCCAGGATGATGCCTCGGATCTGCTGTATCTGCATGCTTTTTTGTTTTTTCATTTTCTTTAGTTTTTATTTTTGAGAGAGAGAGAGAGGTAGACACAGAATCCAAAGCAGGCTCCAGGCTCTGAGCTCTCTGCACAGAGCCCGACGCGGGCCTCGAGCTCAAGGAACATGAGATCGTGATCTGAGCCGAAGTCGGACGCTCAACCGACTGAGCCACCCAGGCGCCCCAAAGTTCTTACTCATTTTGAAGCAAGGGGCCCCGCATTTTCGTTTTGCACTGGGCTCTGATTACACGGCCGGTCCTGGGCAGGACCCTTCATCGCACAGATAGTGCCACAACCCAAACTGGCCGGAGCTGGCCGGAGGCTCGGCTGGATCCCAGGACTCTGTCCCTCTCCATCCCTCGCTCCTGGTCTCCTCCATCGGCTCCCTTCTCAGGCAGGCCGTCCCCAGGGGAGCCTGAGGTGGCCGCCAGCAACATAGGCCCTCATTCCACCAGACTCGTGGAAAGAGAAGGTCCCCCCGGGTAACGAGCCCGTTCTTGAACCACTCACTCTACTCAGGGTGTGGAAAGCGCCAAGTGGCCGCTTGGGACTTGCCCGCATCAGCGGGGGGAGAGACAGAGCTTCCCAGCCCCGTGGATGTATTGAGGGGTGGTTACCCCTGAGGAAAGCAAGTACCGTTTCGAGAAGGGAGAATCCAGTGCAGAGCGGACAAGTTGCGGAGGCAGGGGTGCGGTGAGATAGTGGGCATCTTCCCGCTCCCCCTCCCTGTTCCTTCGGGTCCCAGGAGAAGTACCTGGTTGCCAAGGTGACCTCCCTGAGCTCCCAACATGGCTTCCTGGGCCTCAGGATCCCCAGGCATCCGCTCCGGGCTGAACCAGCCCCACGCCCTGGCCCCTGTGGCCCGGCTATGTCCTTCAGCTACCTTCTGGGCTGCAGGACGGTGTGGTGTTTCCATGGAAACCACCCAGCCTCGATGGAAACCACCCAGCTTCCATCACTTTCTCATTTCAGAGGGACTGAAATAGGGAAGTCCGGGCTGCTGTGGCAACCACGCTGGGGAATAAATAGAGTCTAGGTCGCTGGGGCAGGCAGGTGGGACAGCCGTGGGAGAGGCAGCCCGCCATGCAAATGCCTCTGGGGACCCCCCTGCTTGCCGCGCCTCGCCTCGGGGATCCTCCGCCCACTGGGGAGAAGAGGTGGAGAACAGACGGTCAGGGCCCAAAGGCCCGAGACCCGCAGGCAGCCGGCCCCAGCTGTGTGACAGGGGCCGGCCACTCAGCTTCTCTGGGCCCTCCTTGACACGGCCCTGACCTACTGCAGGGTCTGGCCATGCGTTTTAAGTGCTGGCAGGGCTTAATGGGTGAACACTTAGGCTGGGAATCAGACAAGTCTGGGTCTAAATCCCAGCTCTTCACGTGTTGACTGCGTGAGCCCGGACAAGTTATTTAATCTTTCTGGGCCTTGCCTTCCGCATCTCCGAAAATGAGGGACCGGTCTGCCCTGAGGATTAAAATGAATCAATGCCCTCAAA